CTTTTTTTTTTTTTTTTTTTACTAAAGCCATGTCCATAGTGTAGTAGTCACAGGTGTAGTTTTATAGCTTTTTGTATCCTCTCCATGAACTGTGGTTGTTTTCACAGTGTGTTTGGTGGGTTCTTCGCTGGACGCTTGTATCGCACACTGAAGGGGCACCGGTGGCGCAAAGGAGCTTTTTGTGTGAGTATTCAGTTTTCACAATGTAACATTTGGTCCTGTCTGTAGAAGGATAGACACTATACAGAAAGGTGTGCTCTGAGGGTTATACTCCGCTGCATAAGTAATCAGACATAAGAAAACGGAAGACTGGAATGGGAGACGGGCCATGAAATGTTCACCATGTGGCAGTTAACCCTCGGAGGTGGAACATAGGAACAGACTAAAACAGCAGATTGCTAGGCCATGCTACAACAAGCACAAGCTTGTGTAATTCAATAAAGGAATACACCGTGCTTTACACTCTTGTGTTTATGGGGTGTAGCAAGCAACAGCACAGCCACACATCTCCTGCCTGGGGTAAAATGCCCCAAATATTCTTAGGCAGCCAAGTGCTGTTGATGACCAACTGAATCTTACGGCACCACAGTGGTAGAACTGTGCTGTGGCATTGGGATGACCACGAATGCAGACTCTGTGGAAGGGAGCATCCGCTTTAAGAACTGTGCTGTGGCATTGGGATGACCACGAATGCAGACTCTGTGGAAGGGAGCATCCGCTTTATTAACCTTGTCTGTGTACTCTACTTTAAAGGAGAACTATGGGGTCATTGTTTTTCCCCATAGTTCTCCTTAGGGTAACGGGAGGACACAAACTAGCGTCCTCCCGTTACCCTAAGCTCAGTATATATGGAGCTGTACTGAGACGCCGCAGCCGGAGCGGATCCCGACTTAGACGACGGGATCCGCCCAGCTGCGTTAGTGACAGCTGGCTCTGCCTATCTAGAGGCAGAGCCAGCTGTACCCGCCCCCTCCCCCGTCCGTTCCGCCAGTCAGCGCTCTCAGATCGGAGAGGGGAATCCAGCCCCTCCCCCTGTCACGGCAGAGAGCCGTGACAGGATCGAGAGGTGAGCGAACCGGGTATGTGTTCGCTCACCTCCTGATCTACTGAGCCGACCTGTGACAGTCTCATTGTCACAGGTCGGCTAGAACTATGAGGTTCTCCTTTAACATTTTTATTGGGGCAAATTTGTGCAATACATGCAAATGTTCCTGTGTTTTATCCCTTTAAGAACTCTACCAGAACAGAAAAATTCCAGTTGATCTGCTAGAAATGCAGTGTGCTCCTGTAGTGCTCTGACAACGCTGCCTCTGCACTGAAATCCCAAGCACTGTTGTCAACCTGCCCTGTTCTCCTTTGCTGGACATCTAAAAATCTCCCATAATTTATGGAAGGGTGAAGGGGAGTCATTCTGTAGTCCAGCAGGGAAGAACTGGACAGGCTGGGAGCACTGTTTGCGTTTTTTTATTTTTTAGAGCAAAGCCAGAGTTGTCAGTTTACTACAGGAAGTTAGGAGCTCACTGGGTTTCTGTCAGTTGTTTTAAAGAGACAAAAACGTACAGTGCACACGGTTTTCTTTTTTCTATTTTGCCCACACATACAGTTTAACACCAAAGCCCTATAGGACCTTGGTGGCATCAGTGCCACAGCGTGCAGCTGCTTTTGTCAGGACCACAGTGGTCCCTATACACCTTTGATCAGCAGTCTCTAGTCCTTCTGGCCACTAAGTAAATGTCCTTGTGTTGTCACTCCCATATACATTCACATTCAGAGAGACAAGTGAAGCTTCTTTAGAATTGGGATTAAATTTGGGCACCCTTTTCTGGCTGATGCATCCTGCTGCTGTGCAATTGTCTTTATACACTTGCCATGAATTTCCCCTCCCATGTGCATCTTTATAAAGTGATGAGCTGCAATGAATTTTTGCATTAGTGTGAATAACGTCTTGCATTTTCAGACAGCGACGCTCTACCCCGGAGTGGTCTTTGGCATTTGTTTCGTGCTGAATTGCTTTATCTGGGGGAAGCATTCTTCGGGCGCAGTAAGTATGTTTTCAGAGTTTGCCTTTTGAGACGGCAATCCTGACTAAGTGAGCTAACACTTCTATGTCCCTCCAGGTCCCGTTCCCTACCATGCTGGCCCTATTGTGCATGTGGTTTGGAATCTCACTGCCGCTAGTCTACTTAGGCTATTACTTTGGCTTCCGCAAGCAGCCATATGACAATCCTGTCAGGACCAATCAGATCCCACGCCAGATCCCAGAACAGCGCTGGTACATGAAGAGGTTTGTCGGGTAAGTTCCTAACTTTTCCTATTGATGTTTTTCTTGAACTTTCTCAGTTTTTAGTCTGGTGCTAAGTACTTTTATTAAAGTGGTGGTGTCCTGTGACCATGCAGGACAGGCTCACTGTATTGCCGCCCTGCTCAGCAGAACATTATTATCTTCCTTTTGCTCACCCACTGCTTTGTTAAACTCTAACTAAATGTTACTATCAGAACTACGTACGTTTTGTAGAATTACTTGAACGTGTCCTAATATCCTGCTTCTCTTTCAGGATCCTCATGGCTGGAATTTTGCCTTTCGGCGCCATGTTTATTGAGCTGTTTTTCATCTTCAGTGTAAGTACATTGGTCTGGTATTCTGAATAGGCTTGTGGAGTGCAAAATGAAACCGTGCTAAAATTAGTGAAATAAAACAATACTGAGGGTGCTTTCCCTATTTATAATGGTCTGGCCCTCTAGCAACTTCAGCGCCAAATTATAGCTGATCTGCCTAAAAACGTCAGGTGGTCATAATAATCTGGCCACTCTCTGTGTGTGTGTGTGTGTATATACATATGTATATATATCATTAGCATACATCTAATTGCCACCTAAGTGGAGTTTCTAAAAAAAAAAAAGCCCAAAACCTGATTTCTAGTAAATCTGACACTTGAATACAATGAACTGGGCAGAAATGCCAGGAACAAAGAGCATATGCTTACATTTGAAGTCACATTAAAGTCTGTGTAAAAAAGTCTGTTTATTGATAAGAGATGTGTTAATAAGGCAACATTTTCCGGGGGTTTTGTGTGACCCACTTCATCAATATTTTCTATATCTCACCTTAAAGGAGATCTATGAGGCAAGTGATTTCCACTCATCCTCATAGCTAGAGCCGCAGTGTGACAAAGAAGCTGTCACGGATCGGCTCTATCGATGGGGAAGTGAGCAGAAACATGCACCGATTCGCTCACTTCCCGATCGTCTCCTGTCACCGCTCCCTGCATGAATTTCTCCCTCTCCGATCCTCCAGCGCTGAGTGGAGGAACGAATGGGTAAGGGGGCACAGCTGCCTCTAGATAGGCAGAGCCCGCTGTCACTCACATAGCTGGGTGGATCCCGGCAGTGGCGCTCTCAGTATCTCGCGGGCAATAACCCGCTATATACTGTGCTTTGGGTCATGGGAAGAGGTTAGTATATGTCTCTTTTAAATGGTACCCAGTGACCTCTTTGGTTTGATATCTGCCCTTTCAAGTTGTGGGACTTTTAAAGCCTTACAGAAGGAGACTGATTGTTAGAGATCTAGCGCCACAGAACTCACGCCGGCTGTTTGTTGGTTAATGTTCTTTTAAAATCATATTCACTGGGTATGGGACCAGCATCTTTGCGCAGCTGCTAGTGTTCCTTATGCAGTCATACTCTGCTGTCTAGTGTAACTGCTGTTCTGTTTTAAGACTACTGAAATGTTAGGTATTCCATTAGTTGAGCTCTCAGATGATAGCAGGAGAAAGGGGTGAAGCTTTGTAAACTTGGTTTGCCTGAAGCCAAGAAGTGTTAAAAGAACACTCCTTCTTTAATATCTCAATGTGCACTAAAACTATGCAATTTATTTCAGGCTATCTGGGAGAACCAGTTCTATTACCTCTTTGGCTTCCTGTTCCTGGTGTTCATCATCCTCGTGGTGTCATGCTCCCAAATCAGCATCGTCATGGTTTATTTCCAGCTGTGTGCAGAGGTGAGATATGTGGGTAATGGGGCGATGAATACATTTGTTTGACCGTCCAGGGAGAAGGGTATGTGTGCCCTTCTCTCCCAGACATTTAAAAAAAACAATATCTGCTTTATGTGTCAGTGATATGCCTTGTAAAGTGGCCCGATAGTTATCATTGCATTGTGTATCACTCGGCATCTACAGGTCATATCAAGTGTAATACACATGGGCAATTTTTGAAATCTTGTAGCAAAGCAGCATTCTTGAAGTCCTTCATGCACCCTTCAGCTCTATACTGGGAGTGCTTAATACAAATCATAATTGAAGGGCTCTACAGGTTTTTAGACACATACATACAGCAGGCTTCAGCCAGGCCTGTCCCTACACTAATGGCTGCCTTGTGGGGGGCAGTGCTGCCATTATATGATTGGGGGTGCTGTCAGTGGCACTGTCCGGCTTCCCGATCAGCTCCAGCAACCAGTGACAACAGTGAGCTGGGTAGGATGCTGGACAGAACGTCACAGATTGCTGTGTATGTGTAAGAAATACACATACCCCTTCCAGATTTGCAGCCTTCTATGTAAGATCTTTGTGAATATTATTGTGGTTGTATTGTCTGCCACCTTAAAACACATCTCTGGCAATGCACATTGTAACAAATAATTATCTCTGTGTCTTAGGACTACCGCTGGTGGTGGAGGACGTTCCTGGTGTCCGGCGGATCTGCGTTTTATGTCTTGGTTTACGCTGTATTCTACTTTGTAAATAAGGTACACGTGTGGCTCCGTTTGTCTTCAGTTTAGGTCTGTTTGCATAGAAATGTAGGTTAAAAAAGGCCAGTGTCCATCAATTCAAAGATCTCAAGCAAGTATGACCATACATATCCTTCTTGACCCCACTAAGTATGTGGATTGGTTCCTTGGATCCCCCCCAAAAATAATGTCCTTAGTAATTATATCTTTGGAATAATCTTAGGGGTACATTTAAAAAGCAGCTGTAAGGCCGTACCACAGATTCACAGAATGGAAGAAACAGGAGCGGGAAGATTCTTGTATTGTAGGTCATGAAGTTCTGCTTCCTCTCCGGCATGGAGAACAGTGATAAGTACAGCTTACCTAATCTCACTCCAAAGAGATTGACTAGTAAGGTGGATAGTCTGTCAGGGGAACACCGTCTTAGATCGGCGGTTCTCAACCTGTGTAACCTCAGGGCCCACATTTGTCCTCGGTCATTAGGTCGCATTGACGCATTGACATTGGGCGATTGAACTGCGGGTAGGAGGTGCGTTTAGGGGTGCCATTCAAATGAATCGCAACGCACCTCCCACACCAGAATGCATAGTAGGTGCAATTGCGTGGTACAGTGTGTTAATGGCAGAGGACTGTTCAATTAACGCACTGTTCTAGTGTGAACGGGCCCTCAAAAACATTGACAGACACACGCAATCTCGCACACATATAGACACTCCAAAAGAAACATTTTAATTTGTTTTACTTTTTTTAAGATCCACCCATTCTCCCTACCTTACAAGAACCGGAGTGGATCCTCAGCTTAGGGTCCTGTGTTGGTTGCTGTGCTGTGACGGAGCTCCATCCATATGTGCATTGCTTGTACAGCTCCCTTGCACTCTCTGTATAGGTGCCAGGAGCCAGAATGTGACGTCACTCCGGTCCAGGCACCTCTACAGCACATGTAAGGGAGCTGTAAGCAATGTACGTATGGATGGAGCTCCTTCGCGGCCATATCTCCAGCCCATCCCAGCCCACCTCAAGCTGACACTAGGCCAGGCACCATATTCTGAATAGCTGCTTGGCGCAAGGAATGGCAGTGCTGCGCTAGGGGAAGGCTGTGGCATGCGACTACCCACTGAACACGGGTTCGCGACCCACTTTTGTGTCACAACCCACCAGTTGAGAACCAAGGTCTTAGATAATCTCGCACTGCACATATACAGCTGAAGGCACAGGAAGTTCACTGCTATTTTTTTTTGTCTACTTGAATTAATCACATACACTATGTTATGCTTTTTGTTCTCTTTTAGCTGGATATTGTGGAGTTCATCCCATCCCTGCTCTATTTCGGCTACACCACCCTCATGGTTCTGTCCTTCTGGCTCCTTACCGGCACTATCGGCTTCTACGCCGCCTATATGTTCATCCGCAAGATCTACGCAGCGGTCAAAATAGACTGATGCCAGAGCTCCCTCGCCGTACAATCCCAGCACAAGGCAGAGCCGGTCTCCTCCTCTCAAGACGCCAATACCAGGGAGCCGCCATTTAATCAAAACCCATCATCCTCATCCAGAATGTAAAC